TAAGGTGCTTTTGAGCCAAATTAGGGATTTCTTATCCATGCAGTAATTTAAATGTAGTTTTACATTCAAAATATAATAATTATTATAGTCCTTTAGAATACAATAATTAGAATGAAATACAATATAATTGTCAGTTCTTCTAGTATTAAATCATTTGAAATTATTTTTGAAAGAACTGAATACTTTCCAATGAAAAATGTAACTTCATATATTTATTGTCTCGGCTGCTATATTACGTATAATTATAACGAAAATTGTAACAAGAAGGCAGATAGGTTTCAAATGTAGAATGAGGTACAGCTATCCTGTAATAGGCCCTGAGGACCCGTAGGGTTGTGAGACGTCGAGGACCCCCAGGAATTTTCCTGGTATTCATTTCTGTTAGAGACTGAGTCGACCCCAGGGCCATAGTGGGGCTGGATGGATTAGATAAATTGATAAAATCCAGTAACCTCATCGGGAATCGAACCCGCAGCCTTCAGGCTTGTAGCATAGTGCCTCAATCAACTACGCTGCCGCGTGCCCCAGGTTTCAAAATATATTAAATTACTCGTATTTAAGCAACATTAATAATAAAGATTAAAGCTAAAATAACATTTAAAGTTTCACAGAGACATTACGGGAAGAAAATTAAGAAATAAAAAATTCTTTTTAGATCTATAATGGGTTTCTTTTGCTGAGGAGAATTATTGGACCGAAGAGAAATGAAGTGTCAGGAGGTTAGAGAAAACTGCCTAATGAGGAGCTTCATAACTTGTACTTTTCACCAGACATAATTAGAATGATCAAGTAAAGGAGGATGAGATGGACAGGGCATGTAGCACACACTGAGGAGAAGAAGTAAACACATAGGATTTTGATGGGAAATCCAGAAGGAAATACCTAGATGTTAGGGTGGATAATATTAAGATGGGTCTTAGAAAGAGTGGATGGGGTGGTATGGCTTGGATTCTCCTTGCTCAGGATAGGGGCCAGTGTGAACACTGTAATGAAACTTCGGGTTCCCTTAAATGTCGGGGAAATTCTTGAGTAGATGAGCAACTGGCGGCCTCTCAAGATGACCTCAGCTCCGTGGAGTAAGTTCATTTATATAAGCTGCTGTAAAACAGAATAAGAAATGAAAGTGTAAGGAGAGAGCTGGGAACTATCTCATTGAATTTACATTCTGGAGGAAACAGAAAAATGGAAGGAACATCTCCAAAGAATGGATAAACCAATATCCCTAAAGAAGCTGAGACAAATATAATGTTTGTGGGCATTATCCATCGTCCGGTCTTTATCTAAAAACATCGCCTTGCATGTTTTTCAAAACACAACGTTTCGGAGGCTGAATTCTGTCTCCGTCTTCAAGGAAAACCTACTCAGTTGGGTCCAATCGAGACAGCCAGTTCCTATCTGAGGACCAGCTCTATCGATTGGGCCCAACTGAGTAGGTTTTACCTGAAGACGGAGACAGAATCCAGTCTCCGAAACACTGTGTTTTGAAAAAGAAGCAGGACTTTTTTTTAGATAAATACAGGATGATGGATAATGCCCACAAATGCCACTAATGTACCATCGTCACAGAATTTTAGAAACTACACCTTACAAATTACATGCCAAAGGAGTTGTGGAACGTCGAATGAAGATATGGAGAGATTCATAAGGAAATCCCTGGAATGAAGAAGCAGGGAAACGTATATATATATATATATACATTTTTTTTAACATCCACAACGAAATGTTGCTGGTCACAGTAGCCGCACGGTCTGAAGCATGAATTGTCTTCGCTTGCTCGGACGCTAGGATATGGATTCGAATCCCACTTAGGGCATAGATGTTTGGTGTTTGCATGTGTTTATTCTGTATCTGTGTTGTCCTTTGTTTAGGAAGCGGCCTTGCGATGGGCTGATCACTCATCTAAGGAGTCCTACCGTGTGTGAAAAATGATTACGGAACTGAATAAGAGGACTGGGCCCTGAATGGGCTCGAAGAGCCAGTAAATATATATCGAAATGTTGGGGTTTTCACGAGGACGGGCTTGAGTACATCTACGTTACACAGTACAATGCTCACAAGGCATTCGATATTTCTATCAGATGCAATTATTAAACCCTTGAAACAAAGCGGGTTATTAACCGGGAAATTAAGAATCATGTTCAGTCATCAGTGATAATAAGTTTTACTTACTAACACATATTCACAATCATTCAACGTTTGACTAGGTAAATGAACTTCAGAATTTTCAAGTTAAATATTAATCCATATTATCTTCGAAGATAAGAGCAACCGAATTCCTCACTTTTAAGAATAATAATTATCTACTGAGGCATATTCATAATCATTCAAGGTTTAGGTGCATGAAGTACGAGTGAACGAACTTTACAGGGTCACTACTTAAAGTGTTGTCATTTGCGAATATAAAAGCACACGCAATAAGTTGGCCTAAGCGGTAGGTACGATATTAGAGAGAGTTCAAGACGTTCTGGCCTCTGGACCGATAAGCTGACACAGCAAGACCGGTCACAGGGAAAGGGTGCGACAGCTCAGTAGCTCATTCGATATTTTACAGATTACCGGAAGTCACACGCCTGCTATTTCCTATTCATAATCCACATTAATATCAAATTATTTCATCAGTCATACGGATACTATCTGCAAGAGAAGGAGGTGCTAAATATATTAGCCATATTCGTTCGTATATTTGGAAAAATGTTTTCCTGTTTTTTCAAAATGAAATTCAAGCGGTTTAGTGAGATTCTGCTACCGAATCCGTTCTTAATTTTGTGTCTGTTGTACAATCCAGTCTTCGGTTCTGCTACAAGATACCAAAAGAATTCCTCGAATGTCGGTGATATTCTCCTGAATATCTTCGGGGGACCTTTTGCTGTTGTGTCGTCGCAGGATGAAGCGTCTTCTGCTTGTCAAGAACATAGCAAGCTGTACCTGCAGGCTCTGGCCAACATGACACCTTGGGCTATCAACAGTAAGTTATTGTTTTCGTTCTCTGAAATGCACGTAAGTTTACAGTCAGTTAAGGAACCAGTCAACTATCTACCTGGTACAGGGTCATATCCCTACAGGGCCCTTCTATGTAGTAATAACTATTTCAGTCTTAACAGTAACCCAATTCACCGGATGTGTAAGTTACTTCCTCGAAAACACGTGAACGTGAGGTTTCCAAATTGGGTCAGTGTGACGATTATTGTGTTCCGTAAACTAACGCTGCGTAGTCCGGTAGTCCATCGTTTCGGAAGAACGCAATGCCTTCACCTTTTGTGTTGCTTGCCTATTTAACTTTTCGAATCTGAGGATGGAGCCAGTATGTTCCTCCGAAACTTCGGTGAATTTCCACCGCACTACATTATGTTACATTTCGGAAGATATTGCTATTCAGATATTTTTTATTGGCAAAATATTTGGCTACTTAAAATATCAGCTGAACATGAAACTATAATTTTGTTATTAGCTCCGTAATATTCTATCAAGCCCGTTTCATTCAGACAAATATTTAATAAAACATCCCAAAAATTCAACTCAGATGCTTCTGGTTTTCGGTACGATATTTTTTTTTTAATTCGCTTAGAAGGGGGTGGAGTCCAACTGGTTCCACTCGGCACGGCGGCCACTGATTGGCCTATACTAGCCTTCCCCGGGTTATTATGATGATGGAGAATTTTGTGGAATGAAGATTGGCAGGGGAAACCGAAGTACTCGGAGAAAACCCGCCCCAGCGCCACTTTGTCCACCACAAATCCCACTTCACCAGACCCGGGCGGTACGATGCAAACTGTACAGAACTGAATATTTCAAAGCACTTGAAGCATGACGTTTATCGCTCACTTCCTTCCCCGCTTATGAACAGGTACTTGGCACGAAGACAATTGCTTGCTCACATTTATAAATATTTCACCTTCAACTAAAACCTTCACAAAAACAAGACCGGTTCAGCGCTGTTACGTAATTTTATGTTATGGTGTCCTTGTATCTCTGAGTGTACAGAGCCCAATGGTTGGATGGTTGGTGAGTAATGGGTTGGAAAGGATGGAAGAATTTGATCTTGGTCTGGTGGAGCTACTGTCCTGAAACTTGCCCGAACTCACTCATTCATAGTGCTGAGCCCTACTTGAGAAGCCGCCAATTGTACAGCTACTCAAGAACTTCCCAGAATTTTATGGAAACCGGAAGTTCATTACCGTGTTCATAAGAGTCCTCCACTGGTCTCTATCCTGAGCCAGATAAATCAAATCCATCCCATTATATCTCTCTGAGATCCATTTTAATATTATCCACCGACCTACACCTTTGTCTTCCTAGTGGTCTCTTTCCATCTGGATTTCCCACCAATATTCATATATGCATTCCTCTTCTCTCCATTCGTGCTACATGCCCTGCCCATCTCATCCTTCTTGACTTGATCATTCTAATTATACTTGGAGAATCGTACAAGTTGATACTTGCCCGAAGGAAGAGAGAATCCACGAAAACCCGTTGTCGGTGTCCAATCCAATCCAAGACTTGAATCGAGCACTACATAATCCTTGACTGGCACTGCTGCGCTAACCCGCTCGGTCTGCCTGTCGTGTAAAGAGCCGAGTGAATGCCATGAAACTCAGCGTGAGGCTCTTGCAACATGAGATGCGCGGACGATGTATTTTTTAAATAATCCACAAACACTACGAGATTACTCTTGGCCATGTAAGAATTCTGCGATGTTTTACGAAAGGAAAATCTCTAAATAAAACTGAACTTGGCATATAAGTTTCCGTGTAGGAATAAGTAAAAGACAAATCATGGCTTCATAAGGTAAGATTTGAGGGTTTCACGGCGGTGACTATGAAGAATGCCGTCTTCTGGGAAGTGACGTCTTATATATATTGTGTTAACCGACGTTTCGGAGGAAAATATCGCCTCCATCTTCAGGGTATAAGAAATCCACGAGCGATGAACCAGCGTGAGTAGGTGTCTGTTGCCATGCTCCGTCTATTTCACGCTCTTGGTGAGCTCCCACTCAGCTGAGGACGCCCTGTATTCTGTCTTCTTATTGGGATGTGTGCTAAGTTGTTCTTCTGAATTCGTATGTCTCCATTTGCAGAACTTGATATCTCCACTGTGATCTCGATTTTAGAATTTTATAATTAGGTTTAAATTGTTTGGTTCTTCACTAATTTTAGAATTTCTCACTTGGCCCCTCCATATGTGGCCTGCTAGACTCCTTAAATTTTCACTTATGCAATTTCAATTTTTGTTTCCCGTTCCTGGAGCAGTATATGCACTAAACAACGTAGCTATAAAATATAATATGAAGATTTCAGTACATATGACAACTAAAAATGAATGTGAGAAGTGAACGAATTATAAATGTACATATAATTTGACAAGTAAATAGTTTTAATTACTTAGAATGTGGAATTACGGCAAGAAACAAAAGAGATCTCGTAATAAAAATGAATATATTTAAGAACATAGGCAGTACAGTAAGAAGAATATCGAATAAAAATAAAAAAAATGAAAGAGATACAAATTTATAAGAAGACATGGCGGTAACTGTATTTACATACGGATCCGAAATTTGGACTATTATGAATCTTTGACAAGAAATTCAGAACTAATGTCATCGTGGTTGAAGAGCCCTAAATGCCTCACCTGTAAAATGTTAGGAAGTACGAGTAATGAACTCGCTTGCGTCGAAGGAAGAATAACGTTATATACGTGGCCTAAATTTCGGCTGCTCCGAAACTGATGTAATTTTTCTTATTGCTAGTGGGATAGGACTGAGTCCCTTGTACTGCGGCCACTTCTGGCCTATTGTACCTGCCCCTGATGATAGGTGAGGGTGATTGTGGAGCAATTGGTGGAATGAAGATTGACAGGGGAAACCGAAGTACTTGGAGAAAACCTGTCCCAGCGCCACTTTGTCCACCACAAATCCCACTTGACCAGACCCGGGATCGAACCCGGGCCGCAGCTGCGGGAAGCCAGCGACTAACCGCTTGAGCTATGGCGCGGCCAAACTGAGGTTAACGGCAGTAATAGCAAATGGGCACATACCAATAATCTTTTGGCATGAAAACTTTTTATTTAGAATCTAAGGTTCTCACAGCGTGTGAAACTTCACCGGACTACACGACATCACATGCCAGGAAATAGAACTACTTTGTAAACATCCTTTTTCATTTCATTAATGCTGACTTATGAAGTGAATGCGTACAATTTTCTGGGTTCCATTTCCGTGCAATTCGCAGGTAGCTTAACCTTTCGGAGGAATATATAATCTCCATTTTCATGGTCGAATAGTACGCCGAACAAGAAATCAGCAAAACTATCTTTCACATTTCCGACTGCTTCTGCGTGTTTCCTGTTTGGTCTATTCTACGACCATGACGGAGGGGACGGTATGTTCCTCCGAAACGTCAGGTTTTCTCCGAGCTACACGGTGTTATAACTCGGACGGCAGCCGCAGCCATGGGGATCCTAAATCAAAGTTATGAACTCGTTTATAAACACACGAGAACATGGGGCAAGGAAGCCCAAAAAATTTTGGAATCCTTGGATTTGAGGGTCCATTAGCGGTGACTTCGAAGAGCTCTGATTTGTGCGGTATAACGCTCAGTATAAATCACTGAGTAGACAGGAGTTAGAACCTGGCAGCACCGAAGCGTGTGTGGTGTTGGAACTGGACTGCAACGAACGGTGCTTTGGTCTCTTCAACTCCCCATACAATGAGACACAGCTCTGTGACTACTAACTAACTAACTAACTAACTAACTAACTGACTGACTGACTGACTAATTAACTCCATGGAGCTGCGTTCTCCTTGAGAAGCCGCCACTCATTCAGCTACTCAAGAATTGTTCAAAATTTTATGGAAACCGAAGGTTCATTATCGTGTTCACAAGAGCCCTCCACTGGTCCCTATCCTGAGCCAGACCAACCCAGTTCATACCGCCCCATCCTAGCTCTTTAAGATATCTTTTAGTATTATCGTTCCTTATACGTCCGAATATTTTTAGTGATCTCTTTCCTTTTGGCTTTCTCACCAAAATCCTATATGCATACCTCTTCTTCCCATGTACGCTACATGCCCTGTCCATTGCATCCTTATTGTCCTATCATTCTTATTATATTTGGCGATAAGTACAAGTTATGAAGCTCATCATTATGCACTACTCTCAAATCTTGTACCATTTCATTCCTATTCGATCCAAATATTCTCCTCAGCACCCTGTTCTCAAATGGGTTTCTCCCTTAAGATCTGAGTCCAAATTTCCCATCCGTACGAAACCACGGGCAAAATTATTTAACATCAGTCACTTAAATTGGAAGAAACTGTGAGTGCTCATGTCTATTAACAGCAAATAAATAAATTCCATCGCTTTGACACAAGCCCCGACGTCGTGTACACTTACCACTGCATAAACTGACAATCCTCTTGTCAACAAGACAATCTGCAACGACATCTAAACCCACGAACTTCAGTACATTGATATCACCTACATAAGCAACTGTTATCAGATCGAGAGGTCAACCTGATACCATTTTTCAGCGACTCGAACAGGAGTTGCACATTTATCGAGTCTCTGTTTTCATGCGAGAATTCAGGATTGTGCTCTCTGAAGTGCATTGCTTACGTCTTAGGGACAAAGCAACCCCATACATCCCACATTATAATGGTCATTAAGAACCACGCATTTGCTGTCGTTGATGAAGAGTCACAAATTCCAAAAAACTGGCAAACAATTCAACAAAAACCGATGGTACACTGCACCTGTTAATCTGTTAGGTAAGACAACTGGTGCTAAGTGATAATCACCTAAGATGCCTACCCAGACATAAACTCGCTCGTCTCAACAGGCATTGGTTTCTGGATAATTATCGACCGGGACATTTTGCTTATTTCAATGCGTACTATAACTCCCTAAGCCTGTAACCATTTTTGAACACTGTGTATAAAACTCAGCGGGAGGCGTAAAGGAATTAATACTTCACGTAACAAGATAGAGATGGAGCAACTAACAAAATATATATTTAATAATGTATATGCAGCAGCAATATTAGCGCTCTTAAAAGGCGGGATGTCGGTCACGGTAGCCGAGCGGTCTAAGACATGTACTGTCTTTGCTCGCTTGGCAACCGGGATCGTGGGTTCGAATCCCATTCTGGGCATGGATGTTTAGTTTGTGTGTGTGCGTTTTTCTGTGTTTGTATACAGGTAGAGGCCTTGCGACGAGCTGATCACCCGCCCAAGGAGTCCTACTGAATGTGTAAGATCTAGAAAAACCGAAGTGAACGAAGAAGTTCATGGAGGTAGGCCTAGGCCCACTGGGGCTGTAGTGCCAAGGAAAAATAAATTATTAAATAGTGCGGTCATATCAAAATTAAGAGCCAAAATGGATATCGGTATGGATTAATGAGGACTACAAGTTAACGTACATTAATAACACAGGGAAGTAACGCACCAGCAAAACCGAAACAGTCAGTAATCGCGCCGTCAGAAGAAGAGGCTGAACATTGATACACCTCAGTAATTTTCGGGATCCTAAGGTAGGAGAAAACGAGGATTGGTGAACACATGTCACGTCATCCGAAAGAGGTGGACAAACATCAGAAGGGAAGCTGGCTGGCTGGGCTGAGAAGTCGGGAAACCGAATATATCGGTAAGAAAGGCTCAGACTGCTCGCTTGTTCGTGACGTATCTTATAATTTATATTCATGAAGTGTGCTATAACTCGACAATTCATCGCTACCCTAACCCAGTAATTTCGGAACTGTGATTTCTTCCTTAGATTACACTACTACACACAGATCTATGAGTGAATATGGCAGAACCGTTATGCGTATATTTTCTAATCTTATTCTGAACGCAGACTAAGGAACAGAGGAGGGGCGAACCGCATACATCTGCATTTGATGTAGAATTTACCTCTATACTTTAGACAAGCCTTACTCATTGACAACTTCTGGGTTCTCAAAGAAAATATACGGTACGATCCGTGATCTAGGTGTCTGGAGAACAAAATTAAAAGGACACGCGTTTTCGGGGTTCTACCCTAGAGCTGCCATTAATTCGATAATAAGTACGTCGGGTCTAGCTTTCCCGCTCAGAAAAATCTGCTCTGCAATTAATAAAATTATTTTTGTTGTACGTAGCACTTACTTACATGTAACACCTTTAGGTTCTATTACTCAGGCACGAGCCACTTTCATTCCCCTCGAATGTAATTCTTATAGTGCAGATCGTGTACTGAGAACTGCGTTGCCTTGACAAAACGGCCTAACTGTCTTCGGAATTCCACATATATGAAATCGCAGTGCACTATTTATAGTTATTCTAATACGTAATAAACTTATCTCACAATAAATGATAGTGGAAATACGACACGCCATGAACTACGTAAACTTCACGTTTTTCATTAGTTCCCTCATAACAGCTGCTTCAAGAACTGCGCATTTCACACGCTTCATGTAGGATGATACTTTTATATAAAAAAAGGTCAGATTATTCAATTTTATATTAAGCTGAGGACCTTTTCTCACATGAGGCTAGCGGTGCTCTTACTCGGAGTACTGAAAATTCAGATTTCTAAAATCATCCAGACTTCGTTTCAAGAGGTCTGACATTGTATAGAAGATCATCAACGCCGTCCAGTCTAGCTGATAAATGTTTTTTTTTCTTTCTTTAATAATTCATCCTTTACATGTTTCGGTAGGAGCGACCATCTTCAGAAGGACACATCAATACATGCGGGAACTACTATTGCAATGTCACTGGTCACTACCAGTATATACGGACACCATTACTTCATGAATATAAAATATTAGCCTTTAACAATCACAGCGATGTGCATGAATACATTAAAACGTTTATACATCGCTACAACTAGTATATTTACAAGTGTGGTTTAAAAACTTTGTTAAAATTTAGAACCAATCCTTTATACTGCCACTCTTTAAAGGGAGTTGAGTGTCTACCGCGTCATGGTTCTGTTATTTGATGAGTAGGACTCTTTGGTGTCGTCCTGTTGTTCGGGCCGCGCTGTGTTGCTATACTGTATTGATAGGTCCTGAAGATGGTCGATCCGACCGAAACATATAAAAGATGAATTATTAAAGAAAGAAAAAACATTTATCAGCCAGACTGGACGGCGTTGATGATCTTTCATACTATTCCTAGTGTGACGGACGGCCGCGCCCTAGCTCAAGCGGTTAGTCGCTGGCTTCTCACCGCGGCCCGAGTTCGATCCCATGTCTGGTCAAGTGGGATTTGTGGTCGACAAAGTGGCGCTGGGGCACGTTTTCTCCGAGTACTTCGGTTTCCCCTGCCAATCTTCATTCCACCAATTGCTCCACAATCACCCTCACTATCATCTGGGGCTGGTACAATAGGCCAGAAGTGGCCGCAGTACAAGGGACTTAGTCCCAACCTACAAGCAAAAAAATAGTGTGACGGATCAGGAAGAACCAAGTCAAAATCTGTGACATTAGAATACACGTCGGTGATTTTCTCCTGGGTTTAATTTGCATACCACAAGTAGTTCAGATACTCACACAGATTGAGATTGAGGGGCTATGCTACAAGCCGGAAGGTCGCGGGTTCAAGTCCCGATGAGGTCATTGGATTTTTTCAGTTGACCTAATCCTTCCAGCCGCACTAGGCCCTGGGGTTTACTCGGCCTCTAACAGAAATGAGTACCAGGAATTAATTAAATACTTTTCCTGGGGAGTAAAGCGCGGTCGGCGCGTAAGGCTGACAATCTTACCGCCATCTATGAGCGGATTGTCTAGATAATGTGAGAGCCTCAACGTCTCACAACCCTATGGGCCTTCACGGCCTGGTACAGGGATAACTTTACTTACTTTTTCTATTTACTCACACAGATATCTATTTCTTCTTTTCTAAATAGAAAGATTAACCTACATGGCTGTTTTCATCTCGGAAATCAGACCATAACGACAGCCGATAGTGGCCTAGAAACCTTCGATTCCTGAAACAATATCTCCTCACATCTACGCCTTTATGTCTACAGACGTCCTTGATCTCATAACATACAAATGCATAAGATCTTAATCCAGATATAAACAGTAAAAAATTTGCATGTTGCAGCAACGTTGAAGGCCTTTGAACAGTGAACTTTAACTGTCTTACAATTTTTAAAATGTGCAATCAGTAAATATGTTTATCACTGCCACACGCTCCTAGAACATAACACATATGCATTTCAGGAAGAAATTTTCATGTCTCTGTCTCTCATATAATTCTACGAAGCATAGTCATGTCTCAATTTTGGCGCTCGGTACGAGGAAGTAGAGATCTATTGTGCCTTAGGAGGAAGTAAAGCAAAGGACCAGGTTTGATTTTTGGTCTGATTACGTTGCACCTGTAACGGACTATTTGGAAATGGGGCGGGTTTTCTCCCAGTAATAATTTTCCCCTGCAGACTTTCATCCCACACACTGCTCCGCATTCATAATCATCCTATCATCGACGTTATGTCGTCGCGATACTGAGAGCGTCGTTTAGTAACCAGCTTCAAAAAGAGCTAAAGTTAAATGTTGTCAGCTTTTACCTTTGATAAAAATGTGTACGGGTGAGTGGGGCATTTGGCTATGATAACAACAGTACAAATATTATGTTTATGGACATCATCCATTGTCCTATTTTTATCCCAAACACCGTTCTCTTTATATTTCAAAACACAACGTTTCGGAGACTGGATTCTGCCTCCGTCTTCAGGTAAAATCTCAGTTGGTCTTAATCGATACAGCTAGTCCCTATCTCCGATTCGTAGATACTTATTGGGCCCAATTGAGTACGTTTTACCTGAAGATGGAGACAGAATCCAGTCTCCGAAATGCTGTGTTTTGAAATTACAAACAGTACAGTGTTTTAGATAAAAATAAATAAGGCAGAAAGGTAAAGTTGTCCCTGTGCTTAACTAATTAAACACTACGTCATGAAGGCGCATAGGGGAGTGGATGTATATATCCATGTTCGCTTGACCTCGACACTAGCTGGGAGTGAATGGTAAGCTTCACGCCCCGGCAGCTTTATCCCCGGGGATACCCATTATTATAAGAGGTTGGGTGGACTCTAGAGTCGGTCTGGACGACATGGAGAAGTGAAAATTCTTGACCCTACCGGGATTCCAACTCCGAACTCTCAGTCGTCCAGCACGTATCCAATCGCTATACCGACTACACTTTTCCTGCTCGCTTTCTCTCCGATATGCTGGTATTAATCTAAAAGAATACACGGTGTCAACCCAGAGGAGCACAATTTGAATGTTCAAGGAGGACCTGACATCTTTATATTTGGCTGCATGGTTAGTTTGTTGGTTAGCCTGATGTTCTGACATCTGTTCCTCAGTGTACGATGCATCCACCAAAATTCCGTCAGGCCTGGTGACTGGCAACGTCCAGCAACTCGGTAACTACGACCAGTGTCTCCGTATCGAGGTCCAGAACGGCGACGTACTGGCCTTCAGGGGACAGCAATGTCGGGCCACCATCCACTTCGAAGTCACTGGTGAGGACAGCGGCAACCGGACGAGAACTGACACTCGTCGGTCTCTGGATATGAAGGACCTCTTTTACGCCGCCTTGGAGGCAGCGGTAAGCGCTCTTAACTAAGGAAATGGCCACAAGCCTACTCCCTTTAAAACATGTTTGCGGCACGCTACCTTACAGAACAGAAGGCATGTGCTGAACAGGATCTCCAGTGCCATCTGGTTCCGGAAATGTAAGAGATCATGCTCAAGTTAAGGAAGATGAGGTGGGCATGGCATGTACCACGAATGGGGATAAGAGGAATGCAGATAGGATATTGGTGGGAAAGCCAGAAGGAAGGAGACCACTGGGAAGAACAAGGCGTAGGTAGGTGGACAATATTAAAATGGATCTCAGAGAGGTAGGATGGAATGCTATGGATTAGATTGTTCTGGTTCAGGATAGGGACAAGTGGAGGGCTCTTGTGAACACGGTAATGAACTTTCGGGTTCCATAAAATGCTGGGAAATTCTTGAGTAGCTGCAGATTTTGCTTCTCCTCAAGAAGTTCTCAGTTCCATGAGTAAGTAAGTATTTTCTTTTTATTGCTAGTGGGGTGGGACTAAGTCCCTTGTATTGCGGCCACTTCTGGCCTATTGTACCAGCTCCAGATGCTAGGTGAGGGTGACTGTCTAGCATTTTGAGGAATGAAGATTGGCAGGGGAAACCGAAGTACTCGGAGAAAACCTGCCCCCGCGCCATTTTGTCCACCACAAATCCCACTTGACCAGATCCGGGATCGAACCCGGGCCGCCGCGGTGGGAAGCCAGCGACTAACTTAAAACAGACGAATGCGCGTGCGCTATGCATCTACGAACTGTTTCAGGGCGTCTATGACTGGAAGGACACTAAGAGTGCCCCCTACGTTTGGGCTTTCTGTGTGCCTTCAAGCTGCTCGACAACGGATGTACAGAGGGCCCTACAAAAATCACTGAGTCCCCTTACGGTTCCGGGTAGAGTAGAAGCGATGGTCAGCGTGACGTCCTCAGACTGCCACGTGGCTGATCCGACAGGCACTCAGCTCAGCGCCGCTGACTTAGGAATTTTGTAAGTCACGCGAGAACTGCTAGTCCCGAAATTATGTGTCTAGCGTACCTATATGTACCTCAGACAAGGAACTGTATCCTCTTTCAGGGTCCTGTTGGCCGTGGTTCTGGTATTCCTGATTGCCAGCACGAGTTACGACCTTATTGTCAGCAGGAAATACGCTGGGAAGAAGTCGAAAGGTGGGCCACTCTCCTGCAGGCACCTGGGTACACATTAGCGGGTAGCAGCTGTTCATTACTGTTGCAGCGACAGTAGCAGTAATGGTAGTAGTAGTAGCAGCAATAGTAATATTAATAGTAGTAGTAAGTAGTATTAGTCGTAAGAGTGACCGCGTCTGTGGTCTAGTAGTCAGAGTTCCTGGCTACAGATCCAGAGGTCTGGTTTCGATTCCCGGCGCTACCAGATTTTCCAAGTAGTAGGTCTGGAACGGGGTTCACTCAGCCTCCTGAGGATAACTGAGGAGCCACTTGAATGGAAAAGTAGAGGGCTCCGGTCTATAAAACAGAAATTAATGGCCGTGGGAATCCGTTGCGCTGACCACGCGACACACTCTATCCGCTGAAGTCGACATTAACTTCGCCGACAAGCGGCAGTCACTCGGCCGGTATAGTTCGCTTGCGGACTAAAGCCACGGAGTTTGTTTTTGTTTGTAGTAGCAAGAATAGTAGTAGTAGTAGTAGTAGCAATAGTAATATTAGTAATAGTAATACAATAGTGGTAGCAGTATAATGCACATCTGGAGAAACAAGAATATATCAGCTGTTCCCAGTGTTTCTCACTTCGCGGAGCACATGAACCCAATGCTGCTCTCTGCGAAACAGCTTGAAAACTGAATTGTGTGCCATCATTCGAACTAGGAATAAATATTAACAGCGGCAAGTCTGTCATTTTACGCTTCTATGGTAATGTTGGTATCAGAACAACAAACAACAACATTAATGATGACTATGATGATGATGATGATGATGGTGATAGTAATACCATTCAACGCTGATTTACGTATTTACGTGCAAGCTTAACAGCCGACAGGCCAATTACAAAATGAGCACGAGGAAAGAAAATGCTGCAGTTTCTGTCCCGTACGGGTAACAAGCTGTCCCATATTACTGTTCCAGGCGTCGCGCACTCTGTACTGGTCAGCTTCTCGCTGACGACTAATGGCAGGAACTTACTCAGCTGCTCCACTAGCTCTGACACCATGCCCTCACTCAACGGACTCCGGTTCATCTCCATCTTCTGGATTCTGCTGGGACACACCTACTATATGAAGTCTGTAAGCTCCAATATCAACAACATTGTTGTCAAGCACGTAAGTAACATTCGCAGGTCGAGGGTTGTTCCTTCAAAGAAAATTCTTTCCCGAATAGAGCTTCTTTCTTAACAAGTTCTTTACAAGATTGATACAGAATTGTGTGCTCCTTCGAACACACATCATCAATTTACCTCTCTTCCATACCCAACTGTTACAAGACACTGGTAACAACCACAGTCTCATGGTCTTTCTCCGTCACTCAATCCCAGTAACAATAATAAAAGGCTACTCTGTCCGGCTTTACCTTGGCGTAGTGCACATGCGTACTAAATCTAGGAACAGCAGAAGACAATTCGTGTTTTCTCCGTATCCCTCGAACTACCACGCAGTTATAAAGATCCTCTGTTTACAAAGAGAGGAAGTACGCAATGGGAGAAAGAAGCTGCTTCGGACTCGGGCTCACTGACGTTCCCAAGTCTGAAAACCACTCCACGGAAGTCCAAAACCATCATGCCAAGCTTGGCTGAAGGTAAACAAAATGAAAAGTTGTCCCTGTGCTTAACGAATTAAGCACTATGCCATGAAGGCTTATGGGGGAGTGAATATATAGATCCAACATTTTCTTGAACTCGGCACTAGGTGGAGGTGAGTGGTCAGCTTCATGCCCCAGCCGATTTACCCCCGGGGAAAGAGCCCCCCGTACACTTTGGAGTGGGTGGACCCCAGAGCCGGTCTAGACGAAATGGAGAAGGGAAAATTTGTGATCCTACCGGGACTCGAACTCCGACCTCTCGGGCGTCCAGCCCGTAACCAGTCGCTATACAGAGTACGCTATCCCGGCTCCGAGTTTCGCTGACAAAGGTAAAGTAAAAAAAATAAGTAAAGCTATCCCTGTACCAGGCCGTGAAGGCCCATAAGGTTGTGAGACGTTGAGGCTCCCACACTATCTACATAATCGGCTCAAAGATGGCGGTAATGTTGTCAGCCTTACGCGCCGGCCGCGCTTTACTCCCGAGGAAAATTATTTAATTAATTCTTGGTACTGATTTCTGTTAGAGGCTGAGTAAACCCCAGGGCCTAGTACGGCTGGAAGGATTAGGTCAACTGAAAAAATCCAGTGACTTCAGCGGGATATGAACCCGCGACCTCCTGGCTTGTAGCATAGCCCCTCAACCAACTACGTGTAAAATGTAAAGGAACAAACATTTTTACTCTATACAAATGTGTGTGATGATCAGAGACTCCCTCGTGTCCGCAGTTCGACCAGAGCCTCAGCATGATGCTCATAATGAATGGAACCCTGACGACGGACACTTTCTTCCTTCTGAGTGGAATCCTCCTCGCCTACGTATTCATGCGCGACAGGCAGAAGAAACAGCCCTTCAACCTGGCCACGTTCTACATTCACAGGTACCTCAGGTAAGGTTCGACGAGCTGTGCAAAGTGCCACAGATAAGTCGGATGTCCGCACTGCTCAATGAACTATGTCTTAAACTTCTCGGTTGCGTCTTCAACATATCATCATATCATCCTCATCAAGCTTAGATTCTGTTTCAAACCTAACATAGGCACAAAAATCTCTTTGAACATGCAGGACTTCTGTTCCATAATTTTTCCTATCCAAGATTTGACGTACCATCAAAAATTCTGAGGCAGCCTTATGTGAAAAAGACATAATTGAAACACACCCCAGTTTTTCGCGTTTTAGCCTGCATTCCCTTCTTAGGTAAAGAAAGTATACTTGTGAAATCAGCTTGTTGACCGTCTGTCTGTACGTTAGTTTGTCTCATTGTTTGAACTTTTGAACGAGTTGCTATGAGATTTCTATCTCTGGAAGCCACTCCCGACGCCTGTTTTTTAAGTTCCCACAATCACTGATAGTAATATGGCGGACGCGCGAACCTGTTACTTCGGACGTGTCGTTTAATATAGTTTCCTGATTCGTTGCGTAGTGATAGATCTTCGGAAAATGTGTGATGTCTGCAAAAGCATTATTTTCTAGCCTGTAAACAGCAACATGGTAAGAGTGCAAACTTCAGGAGTGGTGTACGTCAAATTTAAATTGGGCAGTAAAGTAATTTGTTCAAAAAAGTTAAAAGAATTTCAAGTAACGACAAAAACAATAATAGATGTGTAGATCTAGAAACCTGTGAAAAAGTGAAGTAAGTTGCATGAGTTATATTCCAAGTGCTTTGTTAGTTTCCTACAATTTTTAATACCAATACGAAAACTGTGTAAACTTCTGGGGTGGCAGCAATCCTGGTACCGTTTCAGAATAGATAGAATTGTGGTTTCATTATGTCACCCCAAAAAATATAACACGTGTTAACTATTTTACAACGAATGCCTGCTTCTATATAGGTCTACAGAGGAATATATTTAAATGAAACTCGGCCCATACATCTTCCCCAAAATTTTATGTCACTTTACGCTTTCGGCTACGGGTTTCTGAAAACTGATAAAGTAACACTTAAATATTAGATAAATTTAAGCGCATCGCCATAATAAATCACGCTATTTCATGAAATCACAAGGTTTCATTTCTGGGTTATGAAGGAACTTGACAGATTGTATCAAAGCAGAATGAAGAGAAATTTGGATTTGAGAGACGTACGGAGAAAATTACGGAAATTGACTGCATTTTCCCGCATAGTTTATTTGAAAGTTTCCCGTATAATTCTTAGAACAAGGGGCCACTATTTCCCTAAATAGCATTAGCGGGTTTATATTTGCATAGACAGAAACACCGTGTTCCTTGTGATGTATGAACTGAACTATTACATAGTACTACATACACTTTAATTTGTCGCCATAGCGCAAGCGGTTAGTCGCTGGCTTCCCACCGCGGTGGCCCGGGTTCGATCCTGGGTCTGGTCAAGTGGGATTTGTGGTGGACAAAGTGGCGCTGGGGCAGGTTTTCTCCGAGTATTTCGGTTTCCACTGCCAATCTTCATTCCACCAATTGCTCCACAATCACCCTCACCTATCATATGGGGCTGGTACAATAGGCCAGAAGTGGCCGCAGTACAAGGGACTTAGTTCCACCCCATTAGCAATAAAAAAATATTCTTCTGCAAGTTCCATATACGTAATAACACTATTATTATTATTATTATTATTATTATTATTATTATTATT